TAGTTCCTTTAGCAAATTTGTGAGCTTGGACTTATCCTGCGCAATGTTATGCTTTTGCACTGGGTCCAGCAAGATGGTATCCATCTTGGACAGGTAGTAGTCAGACTTGTGCATCACCGCCCAGCTCGATTTCTTGCCTGGTTGCGAGAGTATAATATCCCGATTGGATGTCTGTTGCTTAACTGCCTCTCAATGTTCCCTAGTAAGTATCCTAGAAACTTGCAATTGAGATTATGATACCTTTGTGAGAGGTGTGCCAAAGTAGTTTTGAAGGTATCATAGGCGATTGAAGACATTAGCGGCAATGTAATCATTGGTGCATCAGATTATAGAACTGTGTGTCTAAGTGCACTTCCCTCGTGCTCGGTTTTGATGCACACAATTTTGGCCCCAAGGACAGAGCTTCCAGTTGTAGCCAATTCAACTGTACGCTGGAAAGATTATGAACGCACCGTTCTGGGTGTGACGGAAATCTCGAATCAGACAGGTTTGTTTTCAAACTTTTCAGAAGCATTGTGGGAAAAATGCTAATCTACTCTGTCCAGTGTATGATGTGATAATATACGTGGCGTGCTCTGAGACATAGCACGCATGAGTGATACAACACATTTAGTGTGTAAATGTGAACCTCATATTCTTTTGTAACGAGAGACTGCCTGCTACAGTATCGCTGAAAGAAATAATAAACACTATCACACAAATGCGAAAACAATTGCCCAGTTGCTTATAAAATGCAGGTCAATGTTTCCACTTACAGTCTGAAGTCATTTCTTGCTGGCGTACTTCAAAAAGGACAGTTAAAAAATCCCATATTTCCTATAAGAATCTAAATTTGCAAAGTCCAAACTTCATGTGAGTGTTTGTATAACATGTGAAAATGAAGAAAATTTAAAACCTCAGCAGAAAATGGATTAATCACCGGTTGTATTCGTAATACATGAGGTGGAAACATCAGCCATAATAGTAAGGTCAATCGTAAAGTACAAATGGATGGACACAGGGAATTCGAATCGCCATGCCCGTCCAGCTTGAGGAATCGGGACAGTGGGTAGGTCTTTTATGCTGCGATGAGTCTGATGAGAGCAAGGGAGATATTTCAGTCAATCTGTGTCCGTAATATCTTGAAACAGTGATCAACCAAAATGACAGAGGATAGTGAGACAGAGAAAACCAACGGCACAGGGATAGGCCAGGCGCCGTTTCAATCCACTTAAGGTGTGGGCACAACAATTGCTCGCGTGAACGATCGGCAGGTAATTTAACCGGAGACCCTCCGGCTAAAGCTTAAGGGCAAAAGCATTGAAGACCAACCCTGATGATCAGTTGTACCAGAGCTGCTAAGTAGGCAGTCTGCGGCATCACTGCCATCGTCATCGATGACGCGATGGTGACTTGATGTACCGCTGTAGTATAGCCAGAAGATGAGAGATAACCCTAATGATGGGGAATAAAAAGATTGTCGAGATGAGGGCCTTATGTAAAGCTCAAATACTGCACACGACGCACATCAACTAGCTTCGATACGAGCGGACCGCTAATTCCGGCACTGTGAAACCCCATGGAGAAGCACTACATAATGGAGTAAATGATTAAATCAGGACGAAGCGCCAGAGAAAGACGAAGGAACCGCGAGCATCTTAACAAGTCGGAACAGTACACCTGCTGCCAAGCAGAATCAGTCCGACCCACTGTAATTCTGGGGACCATTGGGTTCCTGTTTGACAAAGAAACAAACGAAAGGCGTATGAACTGAGCAATCAGTCACCGACTCCCAATGGGCGCGATTCGCTGAATCCGCTCCGCTGCCTTGCGGGCAGGCTATTTAGCCAAAGGCTCGGGGTGGTGTCCCCTAAGTCAACACCCTACTTCGGCTTGGGCAACCGGGTAGTATCTCGCCCTCTGACGAAACCATGGACTTTTATGTGTTGTGTTGTGTTTTCTTTTACTATTTATATACCTTCTTTTGAGTCCCATGGTTTCTGATGGCTCTATGTCTATTCATAGACTGTTGCAAATACTGAACTAAACGACGAACCGCCAATCAGGATGAAGTGAACGGAGGCAGAGAAAGGAGTTGCGAGAATCTCAACACCATACTTGCAGCCAATCAGAATTAATCTACTCCACAAAGCTCCTCAATGAACCGTGAATTGGAGGAAGAAAGGAACTGCGAGGATCTCAGCACGTCGAAACACTATACCGGCAGCCAATCAGAATTAATCAACCCCATTGAATACCTCAATGAACAGCCAATCAGGATGAAGCGCATCGAATGTCGCCGACAATCTCTATAAGGACCGACACAGTAACTGGTGGGATACATAGCTGGATTTGCCTGGTAGGAGCCATTGAGACTAAGCAACATTCAACTATGCACTGATGATGTCACTTTGAGTAGTGACGAAACGTTTCCAACCGAACTGCCAAGCTCGGCAAACAAATGAGCAACTAGAGAGTGATCTATCTTGTAACTTAACAGTGAGCGCATTATTTCCGCAACCAACAAAGCATCTGGTAGTTGATGAAATCCAGGAAATTCCAGTCGGATTATTATTTCATGAACTATTTATTTGATCACAGTATCTGCTTGTACATACTGACTGCTGGGTATTTAATAGAGTTCATGCTGAAGGCATTGTCCTCTGAGATGGGAAGTCGGCCGGTCAATTGAGGATAGCAGCAGGTTATCCGTCAGCAGAACCGACGACAAGGTGGATAATGGAGGCCAGCAACTTTGTCGCCAAAAGCGTCAAGCTAAGACCCATAAGGTTAGAACAAATACCGAGTCTGAATTCTTGGTTTTATCACCGGTACCCACCTGAGACATTGAAGTCACAGACAAACTACTGATGAGATCACTTGTCTGTTGGTGTCATCAAAACGGAATAAGGTGCCCGGCCCCGCCGACTTCCCAAGGTCGTTGCCGATCAACAGTCATCATTTACAAAGGGCTAGTACAGCCAATGTGTTACACACAGAGAGAAAGTGCCCCTCACTAATGGACGCAAGTGTCATACCTGTACCCAACGCTGCACAGGGTTGGGTGGCATTCTAAGCTGTCTTAGAGGTGAAGAGGTAAAAGATCACGAGGAAACGTATAGAAAAACCAGGGCTGTTGGTGTATGTCTCACCATCCAGGACGGAGAGCTCGTATGACGAACACCTCGGCTGTCAGAAAGCCCATCGTATATGGCGCAAGTTTGAAATCAGTAGAACTCTCGCGTTAGTTCCCGTACTTTCGACGCATGACGACCCCATATGATGATTTTGGTGTGTAGGCTTGTTCCTCTTGAAGTGACCCTTACGCAGTTTCCTCACCTTTTCGCATTACTTGCTGGTGTCAGTAGTCAATGTAACTGGGTCTGCCGCATGTTGACGATTAGAGAATAGTTAACCAATTGGACGGGATTGTAAAAGATGCTAGGGAACAGGTTTTGACCCAGAACAAAACTGCAGAAACGCTGAGGATCCGACTAAGGGTTAGTATAAACAACTTTATTAACCTGGGTTTGTCAGTAAATGCTTTTCAGCATAAAAACATGGTGAAACTATGGGTATGGAGAACTGAAGGTGTTTGGTGGAGCTGCACTCGGTTGATAAATCTCTGACGCTCGAATTGATCTAGGGCAAAATATTGGGTAAATGATATGCTCATCCATCGTCGCAGACAATGCGTGGTGTTCGTGTTTTAAGCCAATCGAGTTTGATTGGGAGAACCCGGTTTTACAACTCCTTCTAACAACCTTCTATGTCTAGATTTTACATGAAAACCTGGACTAGCAAAGCCTGAAGTTCACTGGTCAAGAGCAAACCAAGGTTGCAGGCTGTAACAAAAGTTATAGGTGTGATGAAGATTGTAAACATTCATTGTTTGTTTATACAAAATGATACGTTTCGCCAATAAGCATCGGCAGTATGCCGGTAAGTCGTACCGAAGCCTCTTTGTTACGCGACGACCACGAGTTGCGCGTCGACTGGGCATACTGCGAGGTCACCCGTACCTACGCGGATTCGAACCAGTGACCTCTGGATTACCAGACAGGTGTATCATGCAATGAACTTCATGAAACTGGACAGATGTACTTCAGAAAGATAAGTGATGTCCAGATTGGATGTTGGTCTGGAACAGAATCCGCCTAGCGATATCCTGCTATCAATATTCGTAAACAGTAACGTGACAAAGTGATCTTACAACCGATGGATAGTTGCGTATCAAGAATGAGCGTAGGATCGATCATCGGTATACGAGAAAACTGGAAATGTGAAAAACAGTAATGGGCGACTTCATCTGAACGGTAAGTTTAGATAATCTGGCCAAAATGCCTTTGAGAACATATAAAATGACATTCCGTTTAGGCAAACGAGGCGAAGAAACACGTAAACCACAGACCGCATTTAGTTTCGACGTAAGTTTAACAGCAGGAAATGTGTAATGCTCTATATAATCAAAGGAATTCAGGTAAAAACAAATCTCCTACTCCATATAAGCTGACAAACAGTTTTATATAATCCATAATTTGGATACGACGAATGTAGATACAGGCGTCAATCATTAAAGATATCGCAATGGAGAAAAGAAGTGGCGTTCATCTGTTGGTCAGGCGTGATGGTGGCTGTTTTACAAATTAACTGAGCGAACAAGCTCTTCGGTTAAGCTATTGGGACAGTAGTGGAGAGAAGCAAGAAAGGTAATTCAACGAAGGACGGGGCTCTTCTCGGAAAGAATGTGCCTTTATTGAAGGTAGTGAAAGATAGGTCCCATAGTGTCAAAAGGAGACAATTACACGACCGTTGCGCCACCCCAACTATCGCGTTTTAATTGACCAGAATACACACAGCGTGACAAGGCCGAGTAGGGAAAAAAATGTGGAAGGGAACAATGTGTGGATGGTTCCACCAACATGCTGCTCGCGAGTGTGGAGAGTGAAGGTAATCGCAGTGGGTGCGAAACATGATGCGGTAGAAAATAACAAGTCTATTTGAGAGAACAGTGTGCTTACTTTCGTGTTGATGATGCGATGGATGTGCAAAGGTTTTTCGTTTGGGCCTACTTCGCCCTCACCAAGTCGGAGCATGTTGAAGAGGGTTTCACCAGCAACCTTTCCGAACAAAGTGTGTTTCCCTGTCAGTTCGGGTGCCGGTCCTAGCGTGAAGAAGAACTGACTGCCGTTCATTGTATCTGAGAGGCAAGCCATACCAAGGAGCCCGCGGCGATTGAAACTCAGCCGCGAATGCGTCTCCACCTGGAAGTAGTACCAAGTAGACATTGTTAAGCGGAAAATGAGTAACTGTGATTGGTAATGTCCCTGACGCTAAGGATAATGAAAACGAAAGTCAATTATTTTGAGCAAATGTGAGTCAAGTGTGCTTTACTGTGGCCAGTGGGCACCATGAAAATAAGGTGATCAATAACGCGCTGGTTAGACAAGTCCAACTGGAGTACCAGTACCCCAATTTGTAGCAACATAAGGGAATGGAAAACACCAAGAGAATAAAAAACGAGACGCGTGAAGAATAAATAGCATAAGAACCACTATATGTAAAGCATTAACTAGCGAAGGAGAATTTCAGTTGCACATATGGGATACCATGGAGCGCCGAAGGATTAGTTGTGTCGATCAAGCTACGAGCAGCGATAAACTTCGCTTTGCACACAGCACCTAGCAAAGCTGGTACCAGACGACGTCTAGCGAACACAACTGTCATCATCATCACTAATGATTAGACACGTGGGTTAGAAGTGAGAAAACAACTCAGCAAATGTGCTTCAAAAAAGACAAACCAGATAATCGTAAACAAGCAGAACAAATAATGTCTCATTTTTTACGCATCAAGAGAAAGATCGTGATTGGAAACGGAGAAGCTGGAGAAGATGGTGACAGCAGGCGTCACTGTTTCAAACCGTTGGAGACGAGCAATAGTGATGCAGCTCGTCATAAGCCTTCGCGATGCCCGAAAAGACGAGAAAAGTACTCTTATATACATACCTCACGTGCAGGTTTGCTAACCAGACTGTCCCAAAGGGCACATTTGTCCACTGAACCGAAGACGCCCTTGATGTTTGGGGACACGGTGAGGGTGGGTCGTCAAAATAGGTAGCAGCGCTCGAACAACTAATAACACTGAGTGACATCATTTTTATAACAGAAATGAGATGGGATTTTTCTAGTATTACTAAGAGAGCTGAGTAGGCATATGCAAACCAGATGTTTCTATCACGTCGGTCATATGTTAAATTCAAATTTTCATTTTACCTAAGCATTGGGCTTCATGCATCGAATGTTCGTCCGTGATTGGTAAATTGGCTCCCTGTAATCGTAGAAAAGAAGTCCTTTGGCCATGGTATCCACCTGATATTGAAAATCGATTAGGAGCTATGTTTCTTTAATTGATATCTTGATCATGGCTGAAAGACGCCGCTTTGTCAATGACCGAAATCATTTTTGTTACGTCTGTGGACATTTAAGTACAAGGTGACGGTGAAGACCCATTTTTTCTCCACTGAACTCTGCTAACACGCATATTTCAGGATAAAACGGGGAGATCAGGATAAAAAGTAAGGGCCACATACTGTTCGTGTGTCGTGCAATCTTCATCCGACTCAGTGTCTCAAGGGCAAAGTCAAGATGCCCTTTGCAATCCCCATGGTGTGGAGGGAGCCGAATGATCACCCGACAGTGGTATTTCTGCCTAACCAGTGGTATTGGAACCTCCAAGCGAAACAAGGACAAAATCCATTACCCCGATCTTCCATCAGCTATACGACCTGTTCCTTATGATTGCACCTTACACATTTCAGTGCGTCCAGTGAACATGTCACTGATGAGGAGTAGTAATTCCGCATCGTCGACTTCCCCTGATTCTGACATCTTTAAAAACTTAGGAAGCTGATGTTGTCCACCCACATCTTATCGAATGACTTGGTACGGGACCTGGGTTTGACTAAAAACAAGGCCGTTGCTGGCAGCTCGGCTGCAGCAGTGGCACTAATTTGCTGCAAACGCTAAGGTGACTGTATACAGAAAGTGAAGTGTTAAATTGTCCCGTTTCTGTGACACGAGAGAAGCCTTTTGTTACTGTTCCGACGTGGAAGGACTGATGAAAGAGCTTGGCGTTAGGCATATCAGTGATGAATGGCGTTTGTGCATTGAATCGTTCAAAAATAGTCTTAAGGCCATACTGCTCCACAATGGAAATGAGTACCCAATTGTGCCTCTGTTGTATGTCATCAATATGAATGAGACTTACGAAAGTATGCAACAAATACTCGCTGCACTGAACCACGATAAGTACTGCTGGAACAGCTGTGCTGACTTCAAAGTCATTGGACTCCTAATGAGTATGCAAGGATGCTTCACAAAATATTGCTGTTCCTTGTGCTTACGATACAGTAGAGCAACTTAACAGCACTACGAAACTGGCAACTGACCAGCGAGGACGGAGTATGCTGCAGGGAAAATTAGTGCAAGCATACACCTTTTGTGTAACCTGATCATATTTCTCTACCACCCTTGCTTGGTTGGAGTAAAAACATCGTCAAAGCCCTCAAGTGGGATGGTTTTGCATTCCAGTACCTGAAACAAGTGTTTCCGAAGAGCAGCGATGCGAAGCTCTAAGAAGGATAATCGCCGGATAATGGAAGACGGTGCTTTCGAATACCAGTGGACTTCATTGGAGTTAGAAGCGTGGCGACCATTCAAGGCAGTGTGTACGGGATTTTGGAGCAGAAGGAAGAGAACTACAAAGGCAGCACAAAAAAAGCTAATTGCGGACTATCGGGCTGTTGGTGTTCGAATGTCACTTAAGATGTACATTTTGCATAATTACCTTGACTTTTTCCCTGGGAATTTGGGATCTGTTAGCGATGGGCATGGGGTCAGCACTTTCAACAAGACATTTCAGTTATGGAGTAGCTCCACAGTGACAAGTACGCGCATTCTAGAATGGGTGACTTTTGCTGGTTTCTGCAGCTTGAAGGGACTGGATCATACAAGCTACGATTTCGGCGAAGTCCACATTTCCCAGTGCCAAGCTGCAGTCAGTAGTTAGCGGAGAGTGTTGCAGTGATGTTCTAAACGTATGTGCCAGACAGATACATTCTGTATAGGTTGTGATTCAGTACGTTCACATATAATTCGTACGACGTAGCCTTGACGTTTGCTTATAACAACGTTACCTGACGTGCTAGGTAACATCGTAATGCATTTCCACGATCAGTGGAGTGTATTCTATAAGGTAGGGACATTGACATTTCTGTTACAGAAAATAAATATTTTGTTGTTGCACAGTGTACTTAGGTGGACGGCTATGATGTTCTGAAGATGTCAACTGCCATATTCCAACGACTGGGCAAACAAGGCGATTACAGAGTTGTGAATGACGAAACTAAGTTCGCTGTAACCGGAAGGTCGCTTACGATGTAGAGCACTTGAACATTGATCACCGTGCTGTATAGATAGCAGTTCCTTAGAAGTATAAATTGTCGAAAGAAAGAGAGGACTAAGATCTCATGCGACTACTCGTTGGGATACAACCTGCAAGAATTCACACACTCAGGGAGAACGATCGATGGTGTAGGTGACGAGAGATGCAGTCTTTTTGATTAGATGTAGGAGCATAGATAGTTACGGCTCGACTGTAGAGCTTATTGTTTAGCAGAGAAGTGCATTGAAATGACAAGTGATGCTTGTTATTATAACTCAATAAAAACTCAAAGTAGACAAGTGGCACTACTGCTGAACAAAGCACGGGTGACTAGGGTTAACAAAAATCTGACATAAAGAAAAAGTGCCTTCCTCCTGGGGCGAATCAATCACTGTCCTGATTTTCAAGAAAGACGCCCACACTTCATGTATCCGTCATCGAGAGATTAGCCACCGTCTCGGTTGCCTTCAAGCTATTGGCATGCATTCTGCTTCGCAGACTATCCCCAACACGCGATTCATACTACTGCGAAGAACAAGCTAATTCCCGTCCAGGTCATGGATGCATGGGTCAAATATTCACGTTCCGACAAGTCCTCGGATATCGCCACATTTACCATAGATCCACTATCATCGCATTCCTAGACATACGGACTCAGTTGATGGACCTGGTTTACGGCGTTATCTACTGGAGAACGGATTGAGCTATGTCCCCGCTGAAACTGAAGACGTCGACAGCCCTAGAAGGTTTATAAAATTTTGACCAAGAGCTTCTACAGGGTGGACGCGCTACCGACTTATAATGAAAATATCGCCTTACTTAGGTAGGCAACTTATACTGAACCGTTTGGCAGCTGAAGCATCTAAGTATGACATGAACTTCGCCTCATCGAAGTGCAAAGTGCACAACCTAGAAAGTGCGCAACTTGAATAGGTAAATGGTTTCGACTAGCTTGGGAGCTGTGTATCTACTGGAGGAATTATTAGCAAGGAAGTTTCTTTTCGCATCGCTAAAGCCCGACCAGTATCTGTCAATCTGAGGCACTTGTGGTGTCGTCGTGACGTCTCTATCCCGATAAAGAACCGTGTTTACAGTGCCTTTGTTCGCTTAGTATTGTCGTATGGGAGCGAGTCTTGGCCGATTCACGTAGAGGACATGCGTCGCACTTCCGCTTCCGAACAACGGTTGTTCAAGGAGAATCATTCGTATGCGGTGGTAACACCGAGTTCACAGTGGTGACGTTCAACATAGCGTCTTGAGTAATTCGTGTATTCTCCTCAACAAGTTGGTTTTGTTGCGCCAGATGAGATGGCTCGGTCAAGTCTTACACATGGCGCAAGAGGGTTTGCTGCGCCGCGCTCTATCCTTTCTTTAAGACCAGGATGGAGGCAACCGCGTGGTGATCAACCATCCATCTGACGACAGAACATGAAATCATCGATGTCAGGTCTAGTCGCCGCTGGACCCATACGTCTTACTGAATGGGGACCCGAGGATAAGGAGTGTCAGTGGCTTAACGCACTTGTATTGAATTGATTTACAAGTTTAACGACCCAAATATTAGAATGACAAACAAGAAAAATCGGAGTGTAAAAAACCAAGAAAAGATCATTCGTTCTATTTCTGATTAAACTATATGTTCCTTTGATTCACATGGTTGTTTGGATGGCCCCATGTCCATATATGGTTGGCTGCATCCGGTTTCGGATTTGCCTGTCACTGTGGCCAGTCACAGGACGTCTGCGCCTACAGAGGGACCATGGGTGGCTTGCGCTGCACCACCCACAGCTCCAACCACACACCCCATATCCAGTGTCAA